CTAATGAAAACATAATTATTCTTATTATTATTTTCTTTTATTTGAGGCATTTTCTTTTCAATATACCATCTCTTGGAAGGAAAAAAAAAAAAAAAAAGAGCCCCATTGTCCTAATTCCAAGCATCCTATTTACATCTGAAATAAATTTGAGCTAATTCCACGGATACTGTCCGTTTACATTGGTTAGAAGAGGGCCATTTGCATATATTTCCCAAATACAATCCTTGCATCGTTCAGCATCTCTATAATAAATATAAATATCAAACGAATGAAAATTGTTTGGCCATGAAAAATTGCAATAATATTGGGTCGTTCCCCAAAGGTTGGGACGAAAATCGAATCCATAAACATCCTTAGTGAATATCTTATGCACTCCAAGGTCGTCATCTCGTGATTTGCAATGAATGGCAAGCTCTATACTATCACCCAAGCGGTTGAAAATTTTGATATGTTGTTCGCGGGTAAGAAAAAGATAGACGAAGAAGTGGTGAAAAGGAAAGAAAAGGTGATTAGGAGGAGGAAGAAAGTTCTTGGAAAAGAATCCATATCCTTGCTGTGGTTGAGTATAATTATATTCTTATAAAACTAAAGTGATTATATATATACATATACGTGTGTCTCTTGCATGTAGTTAGTGAAATGCAACTTTTTAGAATATTTAAGAAAAGTTATCCTTTTTTGCTATTTGATGGTTAATGCTTCGGCTACCTTTAATAATTAAATTCATATTGGTTTGATAGAATGGTAAATAAATTAATATAGGATAGGAAATAAATTAATATAAAATAGGAAATAATTTTAATTATATACAATTCAAATCTTAATAAGTTTTGAAAAGTTAATATTTAAAAAATATAAGATGATTGATGCATCTATTAAGAAAAAAAATTATGTATCCATAAAATGGTAATCAAACTAAACATGATTTGTGTGTAATGTTAAAACAATTTATATGCAACTATAACTATGCTCACAACTTAGGATTTCATTAACAGTAAAATTAGATAAATATGTACATCCCTAACCAAGAAAAGGGTTATTGAGGTAGGCAAGAGCAAAAACCCCATCGTCCACGATCATAACAAAACCGCATACCCTGAAAACATATATATATATATATATATATATATAAAGCAACACTTGGGTCTTAAGCTAAGAAAGATGCAAGAAG